GTGGGACGATATTCAGACTCAATGGACTCACTTTATTACTTGTTAAAGAACCATACACTTGCAGTGATTTAAATCGAAAGAAAATATTTCATAAACATCAGCATGTTTTCAAGCGAACACATCTCAAGGTTGCTTGTTTCAACTATGGTAACGATATTCTTGGGAGCTCTTATGTCTCCTTTTTATTACTTTCATGATTCCTCACAAGATTATTTGATTGTACTTCAGAGGTATTTCGCCTTTGTTCATGGAGTACCTTGCATACGATTGATGGAGGGAAACGATTATATTTGCTTGCTTCCAAGGATAGCATCATATATGGATTTATCCTTGTCGATATTGAGATTTATATACACTTAATATGTCTGTGGCTCCTATTCTATTTTCACCAACAGAGTAGCCTATCTATGAAAAATCAGGCCTTTTTTGATGAGGTGGTAAAGCTCTGACACGAGATCCAAGAGCTATATTTTTGCATTCGGTTGAATGCTTCGCCATATAGCATGTTGTCTATGCTTTCATTATCCAAGAGCATGCGGTGAATTTATTCTTTCGTTATTACTACCTAGATCACGATTACCTCCTCTTTGTTCTTGAAATTTCAATTTTGGGCTCTATAGAGGTGATTGAAGGGCTTAGGGGCTGTAGATTACCTATTTTTCTAATAACTCTCGAGGTTGTAACTTTCTTAGTATTTTTACATTTGAGGCTTTGTATCTTTGCGCACAAAGCAACGCGTTCTATCGTCAACGCTTTAAAGTCATCAACTATCTTCTGGATGACCACTGCTACTAACTTTTTCTTTTGTAAGCGATGGGGTTGATTTTCTCAAAACTCCCTTGTGACATCCTCATGCCACTCTGATCTTACCTCTGCATTGGTTGGAAAAACATTGATCTTTCAATTCTTATCCTTCAATGCTCGAGCTCATGCCTTATTTTCATTTATTTGACTTGTTTCATCAGATCTCAAGGATTTCTCAGTTACAATATTGAATCTCATGGTTTACTTTGCTCTGGTTTCCATAGATAGCGTCAATTCATTGATGATAGAAATCGGATCAACAAATTCTCTCACCTAACCAAGATTTCACCTCCTAAACTTACAAGTTTGGATGCTCAAACTAGTGCAAGAGGAGAAATGACTGTTTTAAATAGAGATTTATATTTTCATACTTCACTTCTCGTAGGCAATAATATTTATAAATTTTCTTCAAGGCTTTGGAGCAATTTGGTCATTCAAGGAGACATGAGAAGTGGCGACCTATGATTGACTAACTTATGACTGATTCTACTATAGTATTACATTTTACTTACTAGCCTATGTGCGCTTCAGTAACGATTGCTGACCAGCCTGGATTGGGGAGTCATTCGCCTACTTTGTGCGAGCCCTTTAAACTTACTTCTCCATTCTCATTATTTATGCCTTGCAAATGGAAAGCAAGGTTCACGGAGTGTATTTCTTAGTTCAAAACAAAACATGCACTGAAATACAACTGATAAATGACAATTATTTAAGAAATCACACATAGGAAAGTCCTGTCATGAGCGACATATCCTATCGTGAACGAGAAGAACTTCATTGTTTTTCTCATTCAAAACTTTCTCGTATACGACAACTGCTGTCATTAATGAAAATCACTTTGCTTTCTTCACGACAAATGCTTGTTCAAGTACCATAGATACATTTGAGCAGAGCCAGTCCTACAACAAGGCATATGAGCCTTGTGCCTCAGGTCCAAAAATGCAAGGGCCTCATTTTTTGCCCAGTTACTCTATTTTTCTTTTTCCTTTTTTAGTATTAGATGAATATATATATGTGTGTGTGTGTGTGTGTCTTCCAATCGATTTTTCCTAGCCTCATTCACTAGCAATGACGAATCGATTGCTCCCTAGCAAAAGGCGACTAGGCTAGCAGGCAAGGCAACGACCTCATTTGATGTTCATCTCCTTCTTAGGCAGCTTCTTCTCCAATCTCCATTCTTTCACAAATTACAAGAGAACTCAACAAACCACAAAACAAGCCTAACGCTCAACCGGCCCTCTCAGCTGCTCTCTCCGTGACCAGTGACCTCCGTAGCTCGAGTCGCCACCCAACACGATAATAGACTTTATGATACTTATGGGTCAATTTTACAGTTTCTCTCTTGGGTTTTTGTTTTCTAAATTATATTAAAGCTTTAAAGAACTTCACTTTATTTATAAATTATGTATACCCTTTCGGAATTTGTTTATATGTGTATTTGCCTGATTTATAACATTCTAAAATTCAATCATTTATTAGAGTAATTAAGTTGTGTATGTTCTCTTTATCTTGCATTTCCTGCGTCAGAATAAGTCGTCACTTGTAACTTAATTACCTTATTTTAAAAAGTCAGATGTTTGTGAATTTCAAGTTGTCTTTTTGATGAATAAAAGAAAGTTTAATTAGTAAGTTTGCTTATAAAAATACGAGAAGAAATATTTTTACATATATGTATGTATGTATGTATGTATGTATGTATGTATGTATTTTTCTTGTTCATGTATGTAAAAATAAATAAATAAATTTAAATATCATATTTTTGCAATGAAATAGTATTATTGAATTATATTTTTTTAATATATGTTTTAGTTACTTGAAGGGGGCACCATTTTAAAATCTCGCACAGGCCGGCTCTAGGAAGAACAATACTTTATTGATGAAAATATTCAGACAAAATTGTGGCAGTCGGTGATGATACGATTTGCTGGTGAAATTATAGATTTTATGACAAAGCAATCCAACTAAAAAGTTTCGCGAGTGTTCTTCGAATAGGGAAATGGAATTTGAAGTTTTCATATCTATAATATATTAAATATTAACCCTACTACATTTTAATTATTTCAAAAATATCTTACTTTTTGATTTTTAATATGTAATAAATACTACAAACTCTTTGTCATATATAAATTTTGTGTTATTAATTCTCAATTAATTAACATTCACATTAATCTAAACTCAATAAATCTTGATTTGATAAATATTAATTTACATGAATTTAGAGTTATTATAGATATATTTATTTCTATTCATGTATTTGGAAATTTTAATTGAAGTTTAAATTTATGTATCAACAATTAATTCTTATGTATAAAATGTAGTACTTTTCGTCCTATTTATATAGGCTGATTTTAACTTTTACTCGAATTAATAAATCTTATTCAATGTTATTGAAAAAGCAATTTTTGCGGGAAAAAAATTCCTAGTTTACTCTTATTTATATTTGTACAGTTTCAAAATTATGGGAAAAAATTTTGTTATAACTAGGCAAATTATATAAGAATATATTAGTAAATGAACAAAACAAAACATTCTCAATAAAGAAACGAAATTATATAATTGGAATAAGAAAGTATGCAAAGTTGGACTACATAAATGGTACGAAGCGAGTGTAAAAAATTTGCACGTTTATACTATTTCATTATCACAAAAAAATTGAGTCACGAAAATTGAGTTTTGAAATTACAATTTTCTTCTTTTAAATTTCTATCCTATATTTTATTTGCTTTAATTCGTTTGAGACTCGTCAGATCCAATCAACAAATTGGTATTAAATATTACTTTTATAGCGTTTACAAAGTATTTCAGAATAACATGAGAGAAAATATTTTTCAAATCGTTGTGGAAGGGTGTCACATGTAAATTAGATTTTTTTAGGGATAATTTGGCTTGAAATGAACTAAATTGAGCATTTGTACAAAGGGTAATTAGTAATTAACTAATTCTAATGCTACCACAGTATTTTATAAATATATCACATTTAATTACGTTAAAGGTCATTAACCTTTATTTATTATCACACTTATATCTTTAACTTTCTCCTTCATCACATTCTTATTGTTAACATTTCATTGATCATAAAATATTGGCCTTAATCATGATTTTCATCTTAAAATATTGTTAATGTGCTTTAAAATGAGGATGAAATCTTTAATAACATTTTTGCAATATTATTTGTTTTGCTTAATCAAAAATACAATGGGCAAATGAGTATTTAATCTATCTTAAAGAAAATTTTGGAGGAAAATCATAATCAGAAATATTTTATTTTAGTTTAATAACGAGAATGGACTGAAAAAAGTTTGAGACTATATGTGGTAAGCAAATATTATAAACTTTTCATGCAATTTAAATAAAATCTAATTAATAAAAATTGTGATTTTTTTAATAAGTAGCCTCGTCCGAATGGTAAAAAATGCCCATTTTGTTGCAAAAGTTTAAAAAATTTCCATTTTCAAATGACACGTGAATTCTCATATTTTCTAATACTTCCAATATAATATCTAGTCTACCTTCGTCGTTTGACTGCTATAAAAATTTAAGCTCACAAACTGGCAAGTTTAGGTTCACAGGAAGTTTTGCTAGAAGTTCAAGGAAAGTAATGTGTACAGAACCCCTACCAACACTTATAAACAATTGTATTAAAATAAAATAAAAAACCCCACCCACCCACTCACCCGGTGTATGTGTGTGTTCGGTACGAATTCTGTGAACCCATACTTGCACGTGTATCACACCCCTTTAATGACTGCCAATCAAGTCTCTGTTCTCCTGTCAAAGACGGGAAATAACTAAATATTTTCTCCAAAAACCTTTAGGACTCTACTATTTGTACACTGATTTCTGACACTTTGATTGACACTTGCATTATTGTCAAATGTCAATTGCATAAAAAATCTATTTGAAATTTTAAACTGTTCAATAGGATAATATCATGTGGCAAAGTATAAACCAAAATGTATATTATAGTGTACATGTAACAAGATTCAAAACTTTATCAAGGACAGTTTCCTAAAAAGAACCTGTAGCATTTTTCCTAGGGTGCAATGACTGGCTAACTCCACTGCTACAACATTCATTGAGCACAGTACATTTGCATCTGCAATACATAACTGAAATTAGATAACTAATCATCTCATCACATGACATAAAAGAAATTGACAGAAAATATTAATAACTGCAATAATTTCTGATACAGATATTGATAACTGCAATAATTTCTGATACAGACAAGAGTTGTGCTTGGTTTACATAATTTTATGCACATGCCAAGCTTTATCCTACAGACAATACATAGTATACATTTCTATATACACCAAATCACTTGAACATTTGCGAAGGGGAGCATGCATGAACCAGAACAGATCAAACCTAGCCTACAAAACATTCTGAGATGAAACTGTGCACTTGCACGACTACTTAACAGCTAACTACATGAGTTTTATCGCACTACAGATTCTCTCAAAAATAGGTCTAATCAAACAAACTACAAATCATGTCTCTTTTTTCTTCTTCTTCGCTGTCAAAACACTTGGTCTGGAGAAAATTTTGCTAAATATTCCAGGTGCTTTAGAAGACGGAATTTTAGCTTTGCTTTCGCTGGTAGAGTAGTCCATAGCAACATCTGAACCCGAGCATTCTTTATCAGTACTAAATTCATCTTTCAATATCCGTAGTAGTTCCATTGCCATGGACTTTGCTCTATTGTTCCCGTTAACAGATACATTAACAAGACCAGTGATAACACCCTCGTCCATGACCAGCTGACAATATTGAACACGCTCCGAGCATAAAGAAAGAAGAATATCGACCGCATGCTCTTGGTCCTCATGACTGTCACTCTCGAGTAGTTTGGAAATCGAAGAAATGCAGCCATCACTTTCAGCAACAGAAACTCTAGCATCTCCTTTGTCGCACAAATTTTTCACAATGGTTACACAGTATCTTGCCAGAGTGTTATTTTCAAATAGTGGAACTAGTTTGGGGATGAATGCTCGAGACACAAGAAAGGAACCGATTTCACTACTTGATGACAAATTACTCAATATTTTTAAGGCTGGTTCCAACAATTCTTCAAGCTGGGTGTCAACTATATTCAGGATACAAGTGAGTGCCCCAGATGCTGCAATCTTGTATTCAGAATCTTTGTCGAAGGACAAAACCTCCAATATGGCAAGAGCTTGTTGAGCTACCTCCGTATCAAGATATGATCCCAAAAGACTATATGCATCTTCATCCATGCAAGATATATGTATTCTGAAACACGCAATCCAAAGTAGATTATTAGTGAAAAAAATTCTGAAAAAACAAACTGTTTGGCACTTGTGTCTTCATTTTGTAACTTTCGCATTGAAAGGTCTTCGTCAGCATATGCAAACTGAAAATCCAGTTTTGGAAGTTTTGTGATCATCAATGAGTAACTAGAAGCAGTAATTACTCCATATTTTAGAAAGACTTGAAGAAGAAATACTGTGCAAGTAGCCAACACAACTTAGAACTTCGTCCCAAAATAATTTCTCATCACCACAAATCCAGAACAAGAACTAGCAACAACCACCTAAGCCTTATTCCCAATATTTGGTGTTGGCTACATGATCATTCTTCGCTCCGTTGTGTTCGTATCTACTAGGAGATCTTAAGCAACAATATCCTAATACACTACTAGGTATCAAGTTAATTTTGGTTCACTCCACTCTCTTTTAACTTGCTCTACCGTAATCATGTCACTGTTATGAATGGAGGCCTATAGGCCTATAAGTCGTCAGCTTGTATGAAGCCACATTCTCTTGGAGCACATGTTGGGGCAAGTGTCATGCAAAACAAGTTTCATCTCAATTAAAAATATTGCCTCCCAACCTAATATACAAGCTCAAGCGACCTTTTTGCTTGATCGCTTTCATTTAGTGGCTCCAAAGGTAATTCAAAAGGCATTTAGATCTTTCACCTAGTTAAAGAATTTGATTGGTCGCATGCAGTCTCCAACTGTGCAAATTGAGATGTTCAGAGCTATGATGCTCGGACTCGGGTACGGGTATCCGGTACAGGTACGTATCTAAGTGTCGGATCTTTTATTTTTTAAAATATAGGATACGGGGACATGGTTAGAAAGAATTCAAATTTCGAACACGGGTACTTGAGTACGTCTTTCAAGCTTCAATTTTTTTTATTAACTCAAGATGTCATTTTGAATAGACCAAAATCAATAGTTCACAAAAAAGGAAATGAGTATTAAATAAGACGTTATGACTAATAAAAAATACAATTTTGGGGTTTAGTTTTCAATTATAGAAAATGGGAAAGAAAAGGAAAAGAAAAAAGAAGAAGTATAAAACAGCGAAGTGTCCGGTTAAAATTTGGAGGATCCGACACATATCCCATACGCATACCCATACCCATGTCGTGTCGTGTCCGACACGGGTACTCCAACCTTTTCAAAGAGTCCGAGCATCAAAGGTTCAGAGTAAATGTGAGAATAATTTTCAGAATCTAAGATTTGAGAGCATTACTTAAATGAGGAAATTCATTTATTCATTAGACATTCAATGGAAGGTAGTGATTTCACACACTGGTGGCCTCCCAGAGGGCTGGTTCAATTTTAAAACCAAATATTGACAGACAGCTTAAGACTGTAGTCTTCTTTAGAAATTTCTGTTCTCGTACTCTTATATCTCACTATATGCTCTAGTATTCTAGGCAGAAGAATTCAGTAGAGGTAGCTTGAAATTGCAATAAGATTTACTAAGAAATAGAAGATACCTCAGTTGCCCCAATTATGAAGAATATTGGACAGAACCACTAACGAAAAAAGATGGTGGTATAATCACCTTGAAGTAGAACAAATACCTGCATTTCTGTACAAATTCTAATAACAATTGACATCCAATCATCTGAGCTTCCACGTCATGAGTGTTGTGTGCATCCTTCATAAATCTAAGAAGTGGTTGAACGAAGTTCCCAAAGGACATCACTGTGCAAGCTTCATTATTGCCCATCAAAAAGTGCTTGACATTTTCAACCATGGTGCACTGAGAATCCCAGGGAAGTGAACTGATTCTAGCAAAATACTCCAAATTGATTTCCTGTGTGCTTGCAGACGATTGAAATCTAGGTGAATCATTGTCATTTTTCATTGACAAAAGATTTACATCTCTACTCATCTTAGAATGCAAGAAATCTGCTGAACCACTGAAATCTAGTGGAAGATATAGATCATTCAAAGAACTGCTCAAGCTGGCGATGGAATTGGTAGAAGTTTCACAAGACTTGACAAGTTCTGCTTCCTTGTTTGGGTTGGGAATAGACAAACCATGTGCTGCACACCATTTCGAAATAATGTCTTTCAAGCCAATATTTGAGGTCAATGATAAGTGAGCCAGCTTCACATTCGTCTTTGGACATGCATCATGACCTTCATCAAACCACCTCTGAATCCACATCCTTTCAAATGTTTGCCCAGAAGCAATGACAACAGGATCATACATCAATCTCGAAGATAAAGGGCAAATGAATTCTTCAGGTGGTATAGCAGTACTCAACATGTCAATTTGAGCAACATCAGGCCTATATCTCTTTCGCAATTCCACTTCTGTTGACAGATCATTAGCACCTGCTACTGGGAAGGTATCTTCATGGCATATAACGCTGTTGTCTGTTTGCTCTCTGATAATATCATTTCCGTATTTATAAAGAAGATTCAAAAAGAATAATAGTATCTTCCTCTTAGCTGAATCACTTTGGCCAATTTTGTCAAGCAACTTTTTTATGGATCTTTTCTCTATCAAAAGAGCTTTCTGGGACATAATATGAAGCTTCAAGGAAACCACTCGAATAGAGCCAAGGGTATCGTCCTCCATTGAATCAGTTGTAGAACCATATCTATGAAGCAATTCCCGCAAAACCTTCCCAGCCTCCTCTTCAGATGGATCCAAACAAAATGTTGAGCTCCTAAGATCAGAAATGATTCCAGAAATCTGCTTGCAATAGTTAATCAACTGTATCACAACACTCATTTTGTCGGTTGTTCAAGAATGCATGAAAAAAGAGAGGGGACTGGAGGAGAATCAACAACTTATTTAAAGGAATTTACAAGAGATCTCAATTATAGTGGGGCCAGTGGCAGATCATAGGATAAAGGGAAGCCTGGGGTGGGGGAGAGAGGAAGGCACTATTATTACATACCCACCTTAAAACATAGTTTTTAATTCAACTACATCAACATCTAGAAATCTATAAGTAAATATTGAATGTAAAAGGTGCTCAAGTGCCTGATGAAATTGGACTTATGCAGCTATAAATTGAGCTACTTGCTTTAGCATTGTGGTCATACTAAATATTTTGGGCAGATGAAACTGCAAATATGATCCTACAGCATTAAAGAAGAAACACATTCGATTGCACAAACTTCTCACTAAAAAAATCTAAACACAAACAGCAGACAAAATGGACCAAAAGTTGCAATGTGGAAAGAATGGACTTTCGTTTTCTGAGTAATTCATAAGCTTCAAAAGAAAGTGAAAGAAAGGATGAATTGAGCAAGAACAAATGCAAAATAATAATAATAATAATAAATAAATTATATTAACGGAGAGTTATTAAACTACCTATGATGTAGATAAAAAATATTCAACTAGAAAAATGACAGTTTTGCATGAATGTGTGCGTGAGAGAGATAGAGTTCATGGGGCAACCAACTTTTCAAACTTTTGAGGCCCTACTTCTCATATGTAACCTAGAATTAGTAAAACTCTCAGTAGCATCATGGAGTTCTTCAAAAATCAAGGAGTGGAGGAAAAGTTCATGTATCCTAGAATTAGTTAAGTTCTCAACAGTAGATGGAGTATCCCGAAGATCTTGGAGGCGAACTGCCACCCCTAATTCCACCCACCCCACAATCATTGACAACCTGAAAGTGATAGGTTTTTCTGGTAATCCATGGAAAAACAGAAACAAATAGCCTGATCAGGAAAAGAGGCTCTCCAATGTCTTTCAGCATTCCTCCTGAGATCCTAGAAGGCACCCGCATCTGTAACATTTTCCTTTCTTTCAAGCCCGCCTCTCCCTCTTTTAGTAGGGAGGAGAGAATGGGGGAAAAGTTGGACCTTGAATTTGTTGATGGGGAGAGAGGAAGACAATTGAGAGGAAATAATGGACATATCACAAAAAATTTTACATGTTAGCAAATCTTAAAATCCAAATCAATTGGCAGCGATGAGTTCGGGAAAAAACAGGAAAAGAAATAAGAACCTGAGACACAATTAGCCAAGATTTTCCATAAAATTTAGAATGCGTATTTTTGCTTCTCAAAGTTGAAACACGCTAATGAAATTGGGAATATCCTTCAATTTCATTTTATTTTCAACTCTTAGAGGTGACTAATTCCTGACTTGCACCTACTTGCTTCCCGAAGGAATATCCTGCATTTTTCTTTTCATTTAAGTTTTGAATTCATTTCAATTTTCTGTATTGAGGGTCTGTTTTAAGAACATATTTGGTTTATCATTCTGAAAAATTATTTTTCAAAATAGAAAATTGGACAACACATTTGGTTTGGAATTTTTAAGAATTGTTATATGACATTTTATTTAATGAATTTGATTATGCAGTAAAATAAAACAACTTTATGCTAATGTATTATTAAGTAATATATGCAATTTTCATTGATTTTCCCTCGCTACCAATGTAAAGCCCCAATATTGCAACCCCAATCAAACTGAAAATTTCATAACCCAAGTAGTAAAACTCAATTTCATAGCATAAATTAAAAGCTGCAAAGATGGAGGAGACAAAAACAAAACCCTAAAGGAGAACTTTTGGAAATCTAGAATTTTTGGGACATTTGGAAATTACACTCAACATTAGCAAAACAATGCCCACTAGAATCCCCTCCAAAAGAGAGGACTTAATCAGACAAACTCCATCACACACTGTGGACAGGGGGTTTTGGGGACATGTTTTTAGCGACAACACTCAATACAACAAAAAATATATTTCGAAATGGTTTTTAAAGATACCAAACCAAACAATTTATGAGTGATCTATAAAACTGAAACAGCTTGAAAAAGGCAAATCAAACGCCCAAGTTTTGATAAGCTATTATTAATATTATGCACCGAGTTATCTTAAAATATGTTTCATGTATAATCACTAAGTGGCATACTTTTCTTTAATACAGCCAGTTCTATATGAAACAGAAAAACTTCTAAGACATCAGAGAGACCTTTTCCTCAGCAGTTTAAGAGGGCACCGCATGAATGATTTCATAGGCTGTACATATTTAGAGAGAGCATATTCAATTTTGCTCAAAGGGATATGGATTGCTCACCGTTGCAGCCAGAATTACGGGAACCATATTTTGAAGTTGGCCAAGACTTTGTTCTATTAAGTTCCTCGACTTTTTACATCTCGACAGTATAGCATCTCCTGTTAGTGCCTGAAAATTTAAAGCAGGAATTATAAGGTAACATCAATACCAAATGGATGGACAAACTGTCTCGGGCAAATTAGAAGTATTAGCACATTTACTATATTCCTTTCCAGTTAAATATTTTAATAGACGCACTTCCACAATAGAATTTTCTTTTCTGGAAGCACAATAAACATTTTTGTTGAAGAACTTCCATACCTAATTTAGACCTTATCTTCTTCCTTCTGCTTCACCAATCTGGTGCCCGACTAATTTCTTTTATTACAACATTTGATCTTATCAGAGAAGGTTTATTTTGAGAGACATAAATTAAAGAGAAGAAAAGCTGAACTATGAAACATAGAAAGGAATGGAGTGGAAACATATAAATGAAGGGCTGAAGTAAGTCCTATCGAACAATGGGAAGAATTTAATTTGTCTACAATAACATAAAGGCTGGCCATTAGCTTTTGATGAACCCATTAATTGAAAATTAATTCCAGTACCAGCTCAAGCAATTAACAAAACTAGGTACATAAAGCTTTAGTAAAAAATGCCCATAAAACTTAATAAGAATCTTCCAATTGCCATGGATTGGGTATAGCAAAAACTATAATATACTACAAATTGATACATTTAAGTTAGACATACGTACCAAATAGAGCTTGCTGGACTCACTACATCGCTGAAGCAGAGAATTGGCTTTGACAATTCCATTATTTAACAAGCAAAGTGCCTCTATTCCTGATGAGCACCGAGGAGGGGCAGCTTCTATTTCTGGAATTATTTTCGTAACTCTAGTGAGCAATTTTAGTAGTTCAGAACACATTCGATAGTGGACCTGTCATAATATGAATTACAAAATTATTTTTCCTAACAAAATAAGACAAACTTTTGAAACAAAAAAGCAGAGCAAATGAGAATAAACAAGGCTGTTAACCTGAATTGAAAATAACAAGCATAATAGAAACAAACGACAAACGACAGAAGAACTCTGACTCATCCTAGAACCAGGTTGTTACCAACTCGTTATCGACTTTCAAATCTCTTATCTATTGTCTATCTACTCCTAGATCTATTCTCATGGCTATCTATTGCTGCTATCGGCAGAATCCAGCACGTTCCTAAACATCCATTGCAATTCCGACAGCCAACCTCCTTACCTTGTTTCAGATTCTTCAAGTTTTTAATTAAGTCCACTTCAACATCACCAGGTATAAATGATCCTTAAACATGAGAACTTTTCTCCCTAGTGCTTTGGTCGTGCATGTGCTCACCATAAGCTCAGTATCTCTCGAGAAAAATCAAAAGTATCCATTACCTTCCCTCGACGATCTCTATGAATCTGACTCTATAAGTGCAACTTTCTTTGTCATCGTCATCTAGCATGAAAAGAAATTAGCACATGGAACTCACACAATAGTTAGCTTCTACACTCTACAAAGACAAAATCAAATTTGACTTCTGGAAAGGAGTGAAAGAGAGGACATGTTCCATAGCATAAGAAGGAAAGAAAAATTGCAAATGTATAGTAGATTGGAAGATGAAGACAATGTTTCGAATATATAATAAATTGAAAGGATGAGGAATTGAAGTACGGAGAGAAGAAAAGAATGGAAACTTTGAATAGTACAAATATAAAGGATATAGGGATAGCATGCAAGCTGGGAAGAAGGAATTGACTCATGTCTTCGATTAGATAAGAGTACATTGCTTTTCAGATCAACGGGAGTGGTCCAAATCAGCCATTTAAGGAACTTAAACTTGACTTCATATTCATAGTGCCTCACATCCATTGAAAGCTTAGAGGAAGGAAGATTTATCATTCATTTTGCAGGTTAAAAAGATTCAGATGTTGAGCTTGCTCCTCGAATTGAGCTGCATTGCGAGATTGGATTGCATTACACAGCTAAACTCCAAGAAATTTTCTTAATTAAGCTAGGAACCTACTTTCCAGCAGCTTTACTTATACCCCAGGTTCACTCCACACCAAGACTTAGGATATAGTTTCCCAATTGACTGTGATGAAAGATGTTCCTCACTGAAAGAAAGTCCTAGATCGAGAGATCTTCCCTCACTCTTAGTCTTGTTCATCTCCTCACATTTCTCATTTCAGCTTTCACTTCCCATCTCTAATCTAGAGTCGAACTAGTGTGACGCACTGATGCACCCATCTTTTAGTGGGGTAAGAAAGATGAAATATGTAAGAAGTGAACTTCAAACTTCAAGCCAAGAAGGAAGCAGCTATCGGACAGGATCGTAGTTGATGCTAAATTTTGGGAGTTCAGATTTGACAGACGTAGCACAGGGAATACGAGTGAAGCTACTCTTGAAATACTTAGAAGCCACAAATCTCATAGAATTCAAGGCTTAATGTTTGAAAATTGTATTATAAAATTATTAAGTATTAAAACACCAAAATAATAAAATATCATAATGAATTCCTTCAGGTTCAAATTTAGGAAACTTCTATTTTTTATATTATATCCAAATTCCATTATCAGACTATAACTTCCAATGTGACAACAACAGTTAGAACTGGCAGGAAATTACACTTTCACTTGATTAGAGAGTGCTTCACCACATAATCCTCATAAGTATTGGATATTTTTAGGTGAAGCAAGTTCTGATCATTTAAAATGGAAAGAACAGATGATAAATGTGTGAACAAACATATGTTATTTAATTTGATTGTATACTTCATTTAAAAAGTCCTAAGTCCATACATTAGTCACGGTTGAAGGATGTTCCTACAGTCTCTTGATATGGCATTTTTAGAAGCTGCACTGTCTGCAGTGAACTCAAGGTTGTTGAGGGAGCTAGATGAAGATTATACGCGCAGCCCAGATCCCAGATGGCTATTCACAAACTGAATTCCGATATATTGAGATCACCAATTGTTATATGCACAAATGATTTCTCTCTCTCTATAGTCAGTACATGCGGATAAACTTCAATGTCTTTCAAACTGATCCAGTTAGATTGTCTAACTTAATCGTTTTGATGATACCATTACTAAAGTTGTCTGCATTCCTCTTTGTTCTAGGGAGATGATAAGTCGGCTGCAAGGAGTTGGGAGGAATATTGGAGGCAAAAATCATTATTACATCTCTTAATATATATTCATGAAAACATTTGACCATTGTATGCTTTCTCAATCTGACCCCAGTAGAATGCGTCGTTCTCAAGTTTTTCTGTTGTTTCTCGGTATCCAGGGAAAATAATGGCAATTATATGTGAACTCTTCGGAGTAACCGAACAAGATCAAAACAAGAAGCAATGTCATATGAGATTGCATCT